AATAAAATATTTATTTATATATATTTTTTATTTATAACTCTTTCTGCCTCGTGGGCTTGGTACTAAGATGACTTTTTTTCATATTCATAATTGGTTCGGCCAACCCTACAAAAAGGTCCTGGTGGTAAGGAACGGGGCTCGATAAATAAGAAAAAAACCGTCCATAAAAACTACTATGTTGTTTGCCCAATAGGATTCGAACCCGGATCCCCCAGAGCAGTGGGTTGACGTCTTAATGGCTGCAGTAATATGGCTATCTATATTATATATTAAATAAATTATAAATTTTGTAAAAATAATATTTATATCTAATAAATATATCTATAAATTTATAAAAATTTCAAAATGTAATTCATTTTTACTTTGAACATAATTAAGTTAACTACGTTCAATAATTCTTTCTTAAATTTATATCGCATTTATAAATGAATTTTATTCAAAAAATTAAGCAAAGAAGCAAAATTCATATGAAAAATAGAAATGTCTCTGTCCATAACTAAATGAGAAATTTGTTTAATTTTATGCATATATTTTTTTATTTAATTGCTATCACACGAACACTAATATACTACAGTTTCTAATTTCCTTTAAGTGCAATGACACGAAAGTGTCTAAGATAATATAAAACTTTGAAAATATATAAAAAATTTAAATGTTTCTTATTACTGTTACATAAGTATCGTCGATATTACATTACATCACCGATCAAAAATACTTAAATTATTAAAATCATACGAGACAATGCTTCGAAAATCAGAAACAAATATCATCACTATCGTATTCGTTTCTCCGAATAAATAAAATTTTTTCGGAGATTAATTTAACTAAATGTTTTGAAAAATTACAATGCAAAGTAAAATTTAAAATAGTAATATTAAATTTCATATCAAATATTTTGGTAAATTGTTAACAAAAAAATCAAATCTAAGATTACGAAAGCAAGTAAAAAGCAAGAATGCAATTCACTCGAATCCATAATCTTATCTAAATGCACGGAAAAAAAGAGCGAAATTTTTAAAATTTCTGTACTTCTTTTAATACTGTAAAAAAATATTTTATTTTCACTTTTTCCACGCATTATATTTCTATAATCTATATTTATATATCTACGTGAATTCACTATTAGGCTATATCGTGGATGTAGTCTGAAGTGTGTTTGTAAAATGAAACATAATATATATTGTACGTAATAATGAGCTTTTAAATAGAATTTTTTAGTAAAAATAATTTTCTACATTCGGCGTCTAATTACATATTACACGTCTGTTGTTTTCGTACAATACATTTTTGTGTTGTTATTCAATTCTCTTTCCTTATTTTATGGTGACAATAAGCCTTTTCTTTGCAATTTTATTTTCATCTCAAATAATTAAAAATTAAATTATGAATTAATTATAATCCGCTTTCGAGTAAATCGACGATCGCGCGACAATGGATTCTCTATCCAAGTAAGAAATGAATAGTAGCTTCGTTTTCCGTTTATATTAGTGGGTCCTATCGAGAACCAAGCCAGTCCATAATGAATAAAACTAAACATGTGGTTGATGGAACAAAATCTACTCATTGGAGCTTTCAAATCGATTGTTTTTAAGCAATAACATACGTTATAATATGAATCTCATAAGAACTTGAAAGCTTGAATGCTCAATAACGCTTTTGATGCTCAATAAATCTCGCATAACGCTTTTCTATTTCTCATTATTTCGAATTGCGATTAATAAATATTAAAACCTTTCTCATAAAACTATTTTTAATTGAAAGTTTCATCTAGTTACATTGGAAAGAATTATGAAATGTTACTCTTATAAAATGTTTATTCAAATATATGGTAATATATATATAACTAAGTTATTTTGTCGGTTATTTTTGAGGAGGATTTTTCGGGGTCAAGAGATGATTTAATATTCCTTACTACAAAAAATTCATGTAAATTTAAAAAGAAATAATCTCATAATTTTGAAACGTCTCGAAAAAATAAAAAAATAAAATTACACTTATTGATTTTTTTAAACTGTTAAAATACATTACACTAAAAAGGGGAAAATTGCAAACTGCCGATGGAAATTAATATTCGAATAAAAATGAAAATATTAGTTAAAGACGAAGCTTAAATTTGATTACGTATAAATGGAATGAAAATACACAAAAGAATGTCTAAATTCTGACCCGAAACATTTAGTTTGTAAGTTCATCACAGTTGGTGGTGTGATTTTTTGATGGCATTCATCCCACGTAAAATGCGATGCCATCTGTTTTCGAAGCAAGATCAATGTTACTTTTACTTAAAATAGTTCCTATATCTAAATATCCCATTTCGAATGGAAGAGCACGAATTGACAACATATTCGTTACCGTACTTCAAAAATTATAGAATTTTTTTTATGGGAAATTATACACTGCACTAAAATTTTGAAATTAATAAAAAGACGAGTTAAAAATGCAATTTTATTTTAAAAATAAATTAAAATACAAAATATAATAGAATAATTTAAAGAAATTCATTAATTTATTTTTATTAAGTTTGATTAAATATAAACTAAACAAAAACTGCAGAAAGGTCACTAATTTAACAAAATATATAGCCTATATATGTTTAGTTATAACAAATTTTTAAATTATTTTTGATTCTAAACTAAATAAAAAAAAAGTAAAATTATGTTTAGAAAGATTGTTAATCGTTTTTAAATTTATAATTTCTTCTATTTTTTAAAATAATATAAAGCATTTTTATCATATAATCGATACTTATAAATTAATAATAATTTCTCATAAAGATAATTTGTAACGCAGTGTAAGATGCGATAGTAAAAACAAACCTGCACATAAATCATTATCGACGCATTCAGTTCTTTAAATTGCATATACGGAAGCTCACCTACATTTATTTTAATATTTGTTGAGTTTAACTAAGTGAGATATTTAAACAATTCTCTAAATAGTTGAGATTAATCTTATTCGCATGCATCATTTCGTGCATACTTAAGAACGTTACGATAAAGAGTAAATTTTTACACGTTAACGTTTATATAAAATTCAATTAAATGCGGCAAAATACATTCGAAAAAAAAAACGTTATTAAGAGTATTATTTTAAATCGTTAAAATTTATAAAATGGCATTTCTGTAAAATATTAAATGCATCTTCGCTACAAAATCAATCGCGACAAATTAAGTGTGTTTCCAAAACGTAAACTGTAATATGGCATAGAGAAGGGTCTAGTTAAAAACTTAACGTTGATTAAAGTGAATTTACATCATACCTGTTCGCTTTGCAAGCCTTTGATAGAAGTGCTCTGCAGGATGGAAGAAAATTACTGTGGACGTCACAATCGGTTACATGGAAGCAAACTGGAGAAGCCCGGAATGGAGACTGGAACGGTATGGGAAAAGCCATGTTCGATCCAAGGGGTGGCCGCTCTCTTCACGCGAGTTTACCATTCTTCGCACAATTCCTTATTTATAATGTTTATATTTATACAACACACGGGACCTTTAATAAAATGTGTAATCCTACGACGGCATCTCCACGCGCTTATCAATATATACATAAACCTATTGATTAAAGCAACTTAACTTAATAAACTTATCGTTAATTACAATTATCTCGATTAGTTTTATGATGGAAGCGAATTTTGATACGTAGTAAAAAGTAAAATTTAATAATAATAAGAAAAAAAATTATATATAATTAATTCTCTACCTGCGAGATTATTGTATCGAAAAAGTATTAAGCAACGGTTTTTATTCTTTGCCGGATAAAGTCCTGATGATCATTTATTTTCTAGAATGTATCTAGGATTATATTGAAAATGTTCAAGACATAAAACCTATCCTATAGATGAATGTATCCGTATTGATTGATTGCACTTTCACGTTCTTTGCACTATTTTAAAGTGTGGAGAAAAATGTATTCATTTTTTAGGATTATAACTACACAATTTTTCAGTTACGGTATAAAAAAACATAAAAATAAAATTATAAAAAACGGTATGAATTTTCATAATTCATAATTCTTGATGATTTAAACATATAATTTTTCTACGGAATCCACACGAGTCATTCACTGATGATACTTTTTGTTTCATATTTTTTCAAATTACTTGGAGTTAAGTATTTTTTTAAAAATTAAATAAATTATACACAAAAATTGAGCTAATTTTTATGTACTTTATTAGTTTTTTTTTTCTAAACAAGCCGCAATTAAGCATTTTATAAATTTAATTACTTGATTAAAAAGTTTTGTTGTAACTTTTTTCTTGGTTTATTTTATCGATTTTTATATTTATTATAGTTTTAAAAGAGCTTTCGGTTAATATTCTCATCAAAATTGCTGAACATACGTTTCGTCTGGTTTGTGCAAGCGTAAACCATCACGAAAGTAAAAAATTCATTTCCTGTCTTCCACTTCTTAAATATTAAAAATAAAAATAAAAAAGGATTTGTATTGAATATTTGAAGATATATTTGATAAAAATTAATTTTTTAAAAATATTTATGAAACTTGTATATTAAATTTTTTGTATATGCTTATATTTATTTAAATAAATCTGTGTATACACATAAGTTAAAAGTCAATATTTTTATAGAAAAATTAATTTTTTTTNTATAACTGATTTTTAAACTTGAATTGCTATAAATAACTATAAATAATACAATTGAGAAATGTATAACGTGCATTTTATTCACATATTGAGTCTTATTGTCAAATATGCTTACACTATTCTTATACCACAAGTTTCAAAAGTTTCTTTCTTTTATATATTTTTGCTGAGATCCACTTTTTACGACCTGGTTTCACCAGTCTTTTAAAGTAGATTTCAAGTATTTTTCAATCATCAGTAACATTATAAGAGAATAGTTTATATGATAACTCTATATTCATCTAAAAGTCAAGTGATAGCCTGCAGATTTTTCTGTCCCAAAAAAATATGAAAAATCTGCTTCAGATCGGATAAAGAATTTAGAAGTTAAAAAGGGGGTGAAATCGCGATGAAAATGTTAATTATAGATTAAATGTAATCGCAAAACGTCATGTTACGTGATATGAAATCGACCATCCAATAAAATATTAATATTTAATAATATTAATCACAATAATAAATTATTATCCGCATCTCATTAAACTTAAAGTACTTTTATTTATAAATACTTCACTCATTAAGTACAAAACAAAAATTAGAACCAACGTTCTAAGAATAATAAATTTAGTTCGACTCATTAATTTCTAACTTCTTTTTGCTAACTTAAAAAAAACTCATGGCGGATACACGATATGGTTATAAATTATAATTTTATAACTTATTATCGCTAATTAATAATCAAATAAATTATTTTCCTATTACTTTAGTGATATTAAAGTTAATTTGGATGACCAGTACGTCGTTTAAATACATTATACACAACTACATGCTATTTAACATAATTAGTATATTATTATGACATCCACTCACACGAATCATAACCCATAATGTTTACATTTTCAGCATGGCGTATACAATTTGCATGTTAAAAATATGTTAATGCAATTTATTAATCTTATCGCTTTCATCTGGAAACGGTAATTGACTCAATTAGAAAATCTATCGCATGCAATGGTTGCATGAAACCATCGTTAAGCCATAGCGTGGCTTAACGATCCACTAATCCAACGTACTGATAACCAATATACTAATCCAATTTTTAAACTCGATCAAATATCACTAGAGGCGTTCTTCTTTTCATCAAAAGTGGAAAAAGTTCCACCAATAATTTTGAAGATACAAATATTTTTGTTTGAGTTTTAAACTACAAATTTCTTCTGAGACTAAATGTAGCTTGGGGCAAAATTCGATGCGATATATTTACATTACTGCAACTTTTTAAATATTTAAAAACATGCTTTCAACTATCGATAATCGGTATTTTATAATCTCACTATAAAAAAATACATATCATATGTATTCTAGCTACTTCAGAGGTTATCGCTCTGCATACAAGAATAAAGAGAGGAAAAGATTCTGTAGGCTTATATTTAATTTATTTATTTATTAATTTCGATTCATCGTTTTGTGACGTCAATTTTTTTTTTACCTTTCAATTTTATTTCCCTATTTGCAATAATTATTCTACTGGTTTGATTAATAATGAAGATCGTTTAAATTTTTGTGTAGATCTTTAGTTTGACCCATTTCGTTTGACGTCATAACAGTTGCTATGGTGACAAGAATTGAATACATTCGTTTTCTTCCGTAGTCCTATATCAGTTCGCAGAAACTTTTATTTTTTGACGTTGTATATATTATGCACTCCATTAAGGATTTAATTTTAAAAATATCTTAATTTAATTAAGATGGTAATTTGCATTTTAGTCTTTATGCGATTAACTAAACGAATATATATATATTTTACGTTCATTTAGTGGTAAATGGTAATTTATGCAGCTTTTCTAGGTATATTTTCTCCTATTGTCTGAATTTTAAAATTCTGAAACGTCTAGAATCAACAGTTACGAAATCATTGTTGATTCTGTATGGATTGTATCGAGAAATTTATGATCTTTCTTCACGTTGAATTTTAGCTATTTAAGTTCGAGAAGTATGTCAAAATAAAAATGTTTTGGACTTTGTGTCTAACTTTCAGAAAGCAATTTCACACTCTCGTAGATCTAAAATCAGTATTCTTGAAGGGAAACTAGTGTTTTGCTCGAAAAATTTCTAGGTCGGAATTCTAGTATCTTAGACGTGGAAAGAATGAAAATTCCCATTCAGAATGTTTTTATTCGAGAATTTTCATCTTCATGGTTAAAGGTTTCATTCATTTCATATTAAAGAAACTCTTAGATTATCATTATTTTTTTCACGGTTAAAAATGTCAAACATAAAAAAAATACTATAAATTAGATAATGTTTATACATATGAACTTTATTCTATTCNACAATAATAATATTATTATTATTATACAAAATCAAAATAATTCATCTCTAGTTTTACATTAGAGTAATAATAAACCGAACTTGCTTGAATTTTGCATCTGTCTTTGCTATATTTGCACTTAAATTCGTTGTAAAACCATATGGAGTCAAAGATAAAAAATAAAGATACAAATAATAAAATGCAAAAATTTATATGCATAGATTAGTTTGTTTTTCTTTACATAACTAAATTCTTAAATTTTTAATATATAATTTATTTTGTAGAAATAGAATACATTTAAACAACAGAATGGCGTAGTTTATTGCAAGGAATTCTGTATTTTAACTTTTAAATTAGTCTATACAAAAAATGTATAAGAAATAATTTCTTGTAAATATTAAACTATTGCTTAATTTTTTTAATGTAAATCATTTTTTGTAAAACATTGAGAAAAATTTTAAATATTTTCCTGTTATTTTTATATTAAAATGCATTTATAAACGCATTCATTTGTAGTATATAATAGAGCACATAACTTATAGAGGAAACCACGGTGGAACGATTTGGTCAGTAGGTAATGAAAACTAGCGAGATCTTCAAGAACTTCATAACAGACCCTAAAGCAAAAGTCAAAAGTCTGCACTGTCGAGGTCACTGTGAGTTGACAACCACGTGCTGAAACAGAGTTCATCCCTCTTTCCAGAAAGATGCTAAAAGTTTACTGACTCCTATTTGCACAATAAGTCAAACAAGTTTATGCTATTTTTTCTTTTTGCACTTTGAACTGTAGATTTATCTATCTATATTGTAATTGTTCGGTTTCTAACATCGTCTCTGTGTCCTGGGCAGGATCTGTTGAAGTGTGGATCGTTTGCCAGAATTGCCTCAAATGGCTCATAATTCATATATTAGAGTGAAGATGCTATTCTCATTTGTTAATTCTTTCGTTTATTAAAAAAATAAAAATAAAAATTTTTTACTTAATCTTTTAAATCTTTTAAGTAAGTGTTCCACGTGCAATACAACTTATTTTGACAAATAATATTTACATAAAGCGAAATAAACTAAACAACAATGTAATTTTATCATTGGTTAATTTTTCTAGGATTTATACTTTTTAAATAATAGAATTGTTATATCACCATCTCTTAATCAATATCAAAGACATTTATATTTTAAAACTATATGGAATTAATTATGATGTACCTTGAGACAATAATTTCTTTAAGGTATCGTCACAAATGTAGAAATAAAAGATTTAGCTAATAATTCTCTACTCTAATTAGCACTTGGAGAAATAGTGCGTGCAGTCATACAGATGGACCTACTAAATCATATAAATTTAATGATTTTCAAATTTATTTTGTAGTCTATATTATTAACTATTGATAAAGTTTTCTTCATCTTGAATTTTAAAATTACATTAAGAAATAAAAACTATAAATGTTTGATTATGATGTCCGAAAGATAAAAACAAATA